GACCACCCTCTTCAACAAATCCAGACATAGACCCAATTTAGGGACACGCACACCTCCAAAACTGGACTTCCGCACAGGAGGGGATTAAAAACAGAACAGAACATAACAATAATCATATACAGCCTTTTACATCTCATATTCACTTTAAGGTACAACTTAATAATCAACCTGCTTCCTAATAATATCCCCTCCCATTATCTCAACCCACAGGCATATTTCCTTTAGGAAGGAGACAATCATACCAGCCTTCATCAGGAAATTGTCTGATCAGTCTTTGATTTGCTCCAGGCCTGAGTCAGAATAAAGTTGCCACCAGTGGAACAGACCAGGGTACCCAGTGTTCTAGACTCCCTACTTACCTGTTAAGACATAGTCATAATGGTTCACGTTATTTAACTTCAGACCTTCGTATAGCACATGAAGCTCATCAGCTGTGAGGACTTGGCCTTTCCAGTGTGCATAGCCTAGACAAAACACAAACAGAGTAAGTTAGGTGTCGTTTAGGACCACTACACATCACAGAGAATGCCGTGTTGAAGAACGCAGAGTTTCACTCTTCCATTTGATGCCTGATTTGAGAATTGAAACTTACCTGATCTGAAATCAAATCATTAAATTCAATGATTTCAGGTTTTTTTATAAAGAAAGCAAACCCTGCCTTCACACGAAGAAGCACAACAGACAGAAATTTTCCAGCACCAAGCTAAGAAATGCTCTCTCCACAGCACAGGACATCCCTGGCATTGAGCTCAATGAGATTGGACAGCTGCAGCAAACTCAGCCCACCAGCATCTTCAGCAGAAAGTTTAAACGTATTCCATACACAAGTCTGATTAAGTTAGATCACAACAGTAAAATAAATATAACTTTATTTAAGTCTTTGAGAATAAATGACAACACAAACAAAAAAGAGTGAAATGAGCATAAATCAAGAAGTAGCTTTTTCTTGGCTCATAGACTTTGCAGTCGCAAAATAAATACCTTCTAAGCTAGTTAAATAATCTAAATAAAAATGTTTCCCCCAAACTCAACAGTCCATTTTCCTTATCATGTTCTTCTCTTCAAATAAGAAGCTTTGCTGGAAAAGCAGGTGTCCACACGATCTGGGACTACTTGCACTGGCATGAGAAATTGGTGGTCAAAATGAAGGAAGATGTAATACAGTTGTGTAAGAGACTAAGAGGAGTTAAGAGACAAATTTGCCTAACAGTGGGTATAGATAGTCACCACCCCCTTTCAAAATTTGTACCTTTTGTTGTATGACACTCTGAAAATAAAAACAAATTAAATTAGACTTGTTCCATTTTTATTTACACACAGTGACCCACATTAGCCAAGTGAAAATAAAATTCTAAAACATTCTGAAAATGAATTAATATTATAACAGTAAAATACCTTATTTGAATAAGTGAACACCACTCTTACAATTGCATTTGTAAACTTGCTCAGGTATAACCAATCACCTTACAGATCATACAACAAACTAATTGGCTCCCACCTGTGATCAACTGTGGTGATTTTGATTCAGAAGTTCAGAATAAAAGCAGCTGTTTCTAGAAGATTCCACTGCTTGGAAGTGCATTTCAAAGCAAAAAATCCACTATGGGTGGAAAGGTGCTTTCAAAATAACTTTGAGATAAAGTTGTTGAAAGGCACAAGTCAGGTGTTGGTATAAAAAGATTTCAAAACCTTTAAGTATCCCATGGAGCACAGTCAAAGCCATCAAAGGCGCATGGCACCACCCAGTCCTTGCCTAGATCGGGACGTCCGAATGACGGAATGACCAAGCAAGAAAGAGACTGATGGCTACCAAGAGATCCGATGACAACTTTGAACGACTTTATGGCAAAGACTGGTCATTCTGTGCATGTGACAACAATATCACAAGAGCTCCACAAATCTGGCCTGTACG